ATCTGTATAATTCTCGTTAGATTTCAACTCAAATACCTCAACGTAACCTGTGCTCTATAAATCCTTGAGTATAAACTGAAACAAATCAGTTCAAATCTTGAACACAGATTCTGGTTATTGAAACCAACAATGAAACATAGTTTGCCTTAATTTTTACTTTCCGTGTTATATGCTAGTTACCGGTCGTTAGGTTGGTGAGGCCGGCAAAAAATTGTACCCGTGGTCTTGATATGCAGATATCAACTTGTATGTAGGTATAAGTATAAGGCTAAGCTGCGAGCACTGCAAGCTCCGCTATGAGATTGCAGTGACTAAGAAACCAGAGTGAGGAAAATACATAAAAGAGGGTGAAAAGTTAAAAACTTTTTTCGATGCTACATACTGTTTTTTTGCTTGTTTGTTTCTTATTTGTTAAACGTGATCCTTCATATCGGCATATTTTCAACGACTAAGAGGTTTAATAAAATTACAAAATTACATTTTTATAATCATACTCAGAGAGGAGAATGATGTATTCATCAGGTTGTTATTTCACTTCTCTGGTTAAGAATGTGCATAGATCTTTGCTTTCCTCTCTTTAGTCGTGCCATGATCATTTTCGAATGAAAAAATTCAGGCTGGCTATGACAACAAGTAGACACAATTGCTGGACTGATAATTCATGAAAATAACCCATTCCCTCCATTCACTGGTCAGTAGTCAAACTCATCCATCTTTAATCCATACGTGCATAGAATTCCGTCACCTCATGACCTTTACAATCAAGTTAGCAAACACGTTGTTGGAAAATGCAAACAAAGTATTAAGAACCACTTAGTTCCTATTCAGTTGATGTGTGAAATAAACATTTTAAAACATGGCAGCTGCTACGCTGTAGCAAATGCTATTTACTCCAGCGAAAACGAAGGCTGCAGAATACACGTCACAGACTGCAATAGAAGTAAATCAGATTGCTAAGACCTCGTGCGGCGAATCACTGACTAAAACATTGACGGTATATCGGGAAGTTTATTGACGAGGGTGTAAATGAAGGGCTTTGATACCACTATTGTGAATTGTATAATCAGTTCTCACCGATTTTAAAATTGCATTGAAGAGTAAGCAGCAACACTTACAGTTCAAAATGGAATTGACATTCAGTATCGCTAACGTAGCAAATTATCTCGGGAGTTATCCGGTATTTTTATAATAATCTATTAATGTGGCCCAATTAGCAGATAAACACTAAAGCCTGGATAAATCTTTCACAAATATTTATCAAAACACGGATACACCGAAAAATAGCATCGTTCATGATATTTTCACACGTAGTTATAAAAAAATCCCACTCTGACAGGTCACACGTATAACTATCTAATGGTGTAAACAGGAAATCTAAAGGCTATTAATGGATTTATTTGTTCCGTGCCTTGTTCTTCCAGCTGCACTGATTCGCACGCTCAAAGTGATTCACGTTCACAAAAGGAATTACTGAAGCAGCCTCTCTAACAGTTATTCCAAATCAAACTATTCAATTCGTAAGATTTTCTCCAATTAATTACAGCCACCTTAAATGACCTGCCCTGTTTATTGTATTTTTGCAGCATTTTTTGCCTCTCTAAAATTCTGTCAAAGAAGGTATTTAGACCCAGACTATTTCGCGTTTCTAAGATCAAAGAACGTCCTAGTTTACTTTGTTTTAAGTTCATCCCACGAGTCTGTTTGTCTTGTCTATATTTCGAAGATCTTTCAGTCTAACATTACAAAAGTATTGAAAAATTCAAAGCTGAAACCCAATTCCCGAAAAACTAAACTAAAACTAAATGTACCAGGTACCTCTGCTAGCTTACGTGAATTTAGCTAAGGAACAACTAGGTGAACTCTTTATAAGAATGTTTTAATCTGTTTAATCCATTATTAAAAGATAGCGAAAAATAGATCCAGATTGCTGAGAGCTTACCACGTTTACGTGGACTCCGTTAAAATGATGATAAAAATGAATGTGTTATTGACAGTATCTGACACACGTTGAGTGAGTGTTCACGGGATTTGATTCATATGGAACGGATCCCACTCGGACGTGGCTGCATCTCAAGGTTAAATACACTGAGAAAACAAGCCAATGCAAACACAAAAGCCTAGATGACACAAATTATCTTCAACATTATATCGGATGAATCTACAGCTGTATAAACCACTCTGAAGGTATAACAAGAGTTGCGAGCCAAACATTTCGTTCACTTTCGACCAACAGGCAGGTATTGAGTGCACCTTTAGGTTCTCGTTAGCCTTTGTCTTCAACTTACAGTTCGTAATGTTTTGATTCAATTTTGCAGTGTTGTGTTTATGCCATTTGACCTGACTTCACCCAGTAACCTGAGTTATTCCGTGTAGGTAAGTTATTCGGGTATATACCTCCTGTGGTTTTTTTTTTTTGGCAATACTTTTTCTTCAACTTACAGAAATACTTTGGCTGAAAAACCCTTGTCTTGATCTCTTTGAAAACGAGTCCAAATTTTCAAGGAGAACCTAGGAGACAAAAACGAAACTCAATGGCAATAAAGACAGTTTTTTCCAGTGTTGGTTCAACGATACATTTCCTCTTATATTTCAGTTCAAAAGATCTCAATGCCGAGATTCCGTAACAAGACCTCATCAGCCATCATGAAATGTTTGCTGACCTTAATACTGATCGCTTTGGGCTCTGCTTTTAACGTGAGTTGAAAATAATTAGGATTACAGTCAACCACTGGACATTTATCCATCGGGTGATAATTGATAAATGTTAATCTTCTCTGACTCTGAGTTTTTATTAAAAGTGGTAAATAAGTTCTGAAGGTAGAAGACGAGAGGTGGCATATTTTTGTAGCATTCCCATTCCCATCTTTTACAAAACAGCTATATTACGTAAAATCACATTTCCTAATTTAAAGTTGCACACAGAAGAGTGACAAAAGTTATAATTATTATAGCGAAAAAAGAAGTTGGTCAGTGGTTTGTTCAAGGGAAACATGCCTTTTGCTCTTTCTGAATGGAGAGTGATTGAAAAAGATATTGTATGCATTGACAAGTTCTTGACGCTCCCTTTGCTTTTCGAATTCTCTCTTGTTGTTGATAAACCGACATTCAACGAGCCGAAAAAAACAAAAGACTCATCCAAATTTCTCAACAGAGCACCCAAACCAGGACACACTGTGGATGTTGTGGTTGTAGTTGCATGCCAGGAATCCCAGGCATTCCGGGAAGTCCCGGACCTGCGGGAGCAACAGGATCTCCAGGAGCGCCCGGACCTGAAGGAACCGCGGGACCTAAAGGTGACCCTGGTGAAAAAGGAGACGAAGGCCCTCGAGGCCCGCCTGGGGAAAATGGGAGTCAGGGACCTCAAGGACCACCTGGTCCTCAAGGCCCAAAGGGTGACGAGGGCGAACAAGGGATTCAAGGCCCCCAAGGCCCCCGCGGCCTTCCAGGGTCAATCGGACGTAACTGGAAGCAGTGCGTGTTCAACGGCCTCAGTGATTCAAAGGACATTGGTTTAATAAAGGTAAGGATTAAATCATATTAACTGGCTGTATTTTTAACGAAGATTTATCACAGAAACGTTGCGACTGTGCGACGTATTGAAAAAAGACATGTAAGTAAAACTGGAAATAAGCAAGAGGTTCATTGACAGGGTATCCACTTTGTGACTCTTCATCTGCTACTAATTCAATATGAGTATCTATGATTAAAATGTAGTACATGTGTGTGTTTTTTTAAGGAATCTCGAGAGATTCGGTTGGTCTGTCCACCAGATTGAGCGAGAAAATAATATTTGGAAAGTTAATGCGTCCGAGAAATCTAAATCAAATCCAGAAAAAATTGAATAAGATGGCCACGAGAACTGAACCAACATAATATATTATGAGTAAAATACAGTAACAGAAGTCTTTTGTAAGGAATTCATCGGTATACATGCTTTATCTTCTGCTTAATTAGTCACGACTCCTTATTCCTTCAGGAATGTCGTTTCAGAAAAGGATCATCCAGAACTGGCCTTCGTGTCTTCTGGAATGGAGTTCTTCGCATTAGTAACTGCCACGCTTGCTGTAAGCGATGGTATTTTACTTTCAACCGAAGAGAGTGCGCGTTTCCGGCTAGAATTGATGGAGTGGTATACATGGTACATGGAAATCAGGGAAAGAAGAATCTACTCCGTGTCCGACATATTGAGGGAGTGTGTGAAAATATCCCGGCGGGCATCGTCTCCGTGGGATTCTGGATCGGAAATTGCGCTTCTTATGGGAGTTGTGATGGGCACACTGGTTGGAACTCAGTGTCCCGCATCTACATAGAGGAGGTACCGCCTCCACAACCTTAAAAACTGTGAACTCCGTCGCTGATGTCCAACAAGCTACCAAAATGATGATTTATGAACAACAAAACTGATTTTTAGGACAGAAAAGCTTATAATGTAATAAATAATTAATAGTCAATTAAAGGCGAAAAAATGTACACAGTTTCACGGCTTCTTGATCATTTTGAAAGATCTTGACATCTTTTTTGGGCTTCTAATAATCTCGAATGACGACAAAGTCAAAAGGAATGCACAGAGGAGGACATGGAGGATCTTTTTAACTGAGGTCACTGCACAACTCTTTGCAAAATTTTTTGGGTTGAAGAGAGAACGTATTTTCCTCTACACCCTGATCTGCCTTAGTTAATAGCATTTCATCAGATGACCGCCGTCTCTCTCGTGCTGAGCATCTTGCGCGCCATACGCAGAGCCAAGCGGCTTTTTCTGGCACTATTACGTGCAGCTCCTAAACACGATTTTTTAAATAGTACCGTGGTTTTCATTATGTGAGTGGGGCTGTGGGGTCCCGTGACGTTACTTGGTTGAACCTCGAATTTATTCAAGATTTTTTTTCCCTCAACAGTGCTCACATTTTAGGTCTAATTGTAACGCAAAAGGTGAAAATAAAAGAAAGGAACTCATCAAGTGACTTGAGCTCAATCAAGCCTATGTCACTGGTTTTTGTGTAATTTGTTTTCTCTTTTTCGATCAGCTTGAAGATAAAATCTTAGACTTCGTCACCTTTCGGTCTGAATTCTGAACTGATACTTCGTAGTGAACGTGATTAGCTCAAGATATTTTCTTCCTGTAGCACTTGTTCCTTTTCACGTGCCTACAAGACAGTATGAGCAATGAAAAAACTTTCTGTCTCGCCTACAGAGCTCTTTAGGATTAATTTAACTGCATGAAAGTTATTCACTACTTCATATGACTGATTAAAATTTCTATGGACTGAAATTAAGACCATATTCAGGTCACTACTGTAGGGACAATCGTCTTCTTCTCTGGTAGTTTTGGACTTCTTCTTATTCCTATTAAAACACTTTTTTCCACATGTCTATCGAAACCAACAGCTGGTTAATTTTACTTGTTGGCCATGCCTAATTCTTTGCTGTTCGCGTACGAGAGAGAGGAGCAATTCATCCTTGCAAGACACAAATCCAATAGTAAGTTTCCTTTTCTTATTTAGAGTCTCTTTAACTCATCATTTAGATTACTTGACTCTAAATTTTTAAGCTGGAAGATTTCTATAATCATGTGTGTAAGTGATGGCGTTGCAGATACGATTCCTCTCTCTCTGGCTCAATCTTAGACTAATTTCCACGTTAATTTGAAGCAATGATGCTGAAAACGAGAGCTTTGTTTGTTCGGCGTACAAATCTACTTCTTCCACAAACTGAAGTGGGTTGCCCAGTTTCCGAACTTTTAAAAGATTACTATAAACTTAACGCTCCAAACGCAAGATACTACATGGTCTAGAATCTTGAAGCATTTTTCTACAATCTGTGTAGTTGCAATACTATTTTTCGCTAAAGGTCAACATTTGTACTGTAAATTTTTCGCCTTTTTTTTTTTTCAAGCCACGCTCCATGTTCTATTTCGGCTAAATTCGACTCGGCTTTCGGCTTTGTTTATGCGAGATAAAAAAGAAACATTCTACTCAGTCTCGTTCTGCACGAGCAACACTTGATAAAATGGAACTTTAGCATTTGAGATGCAAACTGTGACCTTAAGACGAATTTAACAGCTTTCACTTCTACGACACCCATTTCACTAAAAAAGGGAAAAAATATATTTTGTACATATTGACAAAAAATGTATTACAAGTATCACTGATCATGAAAAGGACCATTCAATTAAACCCTGGCAGCAGTTATCTCCGTCACGCTCCTAGTACTTCTCTACTTATTCAAAAGGTCTCCACGCAGTAAACCGTTACCCGTCCAAAATTTAAGCCGATAGGCGCAAAAAAAATTGACAAATCTTAACCACTAGTCATAAAAAAAGTTAACCCTCAAACATTTGTTTTTTGATTACAACAGAATTAGATTAACCGTAAAATGGCCAAAATCTAAACCGATAGCAGTAAATGCCATCAGCCCATTGAGACACCCAGTTAAGTTCCTTATGACATATACAACAAGGGATATTTTTGATTGACGCGAGGGTGCGTGGAAAATAATTAAATATATGAATGAATGAATAAAGAAAATAATAAGTCGGTTATTTAATCTTTACTCGTGGTCTCATCCGCAGACAAAAATATTGGAAATCTCGATAGACTTATTCAGACTACGAAACAACCGACCAGTCAAGATATGTTAAGTGCAAGTTTGTTGCCGTTACTCCTGGCTGCATATCATATTGCAGCAGAAACTGCAAATGGGAAACAGAACGATGAACGACCCATGGTAAAGTCATTGACAGCAACCAAATAGTGTTTATGTAAAAAGAAGACGAACAAACGAAAAGTTACAACGTGGCTATTATCGCCTTCCGTTCTCCAACCGGAACTTACTGAGCTACGCACATTTGTTCTGATCAATCGCCGTAATATTTTAGTTTCAGTTTAAACCAAGCCAGAGGCTTGGAGATTTTGAGATAAAAACGTATATTTTCCCATACTGAGTAAAAGAAAAACAACAGCCTGAGATGTTGACACAGGCATCGATGCAAACTTTCTGTACTTTTTGAGCCGAGGATTCTAGTAATAACCAACATTTAGTTCATAGATCTCTTAAGTGGTATTGCTCAACGAAGAAAATTTATTAAAGGAGTGGCCAAATTCTATGGCCTAACTCATGAAGGAGGCGTATGCCGCTAAAGTCGTAAAGCGTCTCACCGTAAAATCAGAAGTCCAAAGAAAGAATCCTCACATGTGATAGAGATTTTGTTTTTCCCGCTTTTAATTCTTATCATCTGAAGTACGCTCATTTAAGTTGAGATTTTCCCACTAAATCGTACAATCTTGGTGTAAAAACTTAGTATTCCGGCCCATACACAAAATACCTCTCTGAATCCTAACTTGGAGGAAATATTTTATTTTCAAACCAGCCAAATCCTCCTTGCTGTTACGCAGGAATACCTGGTATGCACGGGAAGCCTGGGTCCCCTGGGTTACCAGGTCGTGACGGCCGAGATGGACGTGAAGGAGTCAAAGGTGATCTTGGCAGCCCAGGGAAGACTGGACCTCAGGGACCACCAGGCCCTAAAGGAACTCCGGGCGCCAAAGGAGAACCTGGAGTACAAAGTCCTTTTGGTGAAAAGGAGCAGCCTGGAGAGAGTGTGGCTCCTGGTGTGATGTCTTTTAAGAACTGGAAAGAGTGTGCGTGGAAGGACTTGAATGAAGGAAAAGATATCGGCCTCATCAAGGTGAATAGCAATCTTTTTGACAAGAAAAATAAGTTAGCGTGTGATTGTTTAGGTACTCTTTTGGTTTGTGAGTTTGTTTGCTCGCACATTGCATTAACTTCTCACAAACAAAACGGCCACAAGTACTGAGTCCGTTCTGAAGTTTCGATTCCATTTTCCATGTTCTTTTTATCTGTTTATCTTGAGTTTGTAATAACTCTTTTAATAGGAGTGTGTGTTTACCAAGAACTTTTCCGACACATCTCTCCGTGTTTCCTGGACTGGAACTCTTCGACTCACTGGCTGCACCAGCTGCTGTAAACGCTGGTATTTCACTTTCAATGGTGCTGAATGTTCAGGTCCCTTGCCAATTGACGGTATTGTGTACCCTGGTGGTACCTGGTGCTAAGTCTCTTAACCCTCACCGTGTCCGCCATATTGAGGGTCACTGCAACAACATCCACAAAGGCAAGGTACGCGTGGGATTCTGGGTCGGTAACTGTGATGGATATGGAAATGCTGACGCCTATTCTGGTTGGAAGTCAGTGTCGCGGATCTATATCGAGGAAATCTCCAAACCTCAAGCTTAGATTTTAAATAGAACACTGAATGTGGTCCTAAAATAATAACTGGGGCAGTTATCCGAATTTATTGTCTCGAAATATTTCTTGGTAGTTTTTGCCTCGTCCTTTAGACATGATATTCGGGTAGATCGCGATTACCTGGTAAACGCGACACAATAATAATAAAAATCTTTTTTATTCAAGTACAAGTTTTGTCCACTTTGTTATAAGACAATTTGTTCGTGCTTTGAGCCATGCGTATATCGAGCTATGGATGCACGTGGGGAAGTTTGGACTCATCCAGCCTGAAAATGTCCCTTCCCCCCCCTCCCCCCCAGCTGCTATAGTACTTTACAGATGAGGGCAACGAGTGCGCAGCCTTCTGCAAAAACCAAACCCAACTTACCCTTTTTTGATAAAGTCAACGGTCACGTTACCCCCAATCAGCATAAGCGGAGCCCTCTTGGAAACATCAGTAAGGCCGTTATTTCTCATCCACTTCATGGCCCGATGAGGAGATTCGCTGGCACTTTCTTCATCATAAAGGTGCTCATGGAAACGGTTCATGAGCTGCTCTGTTGCTGTGTCATCCAGAACCCAAGGTGTAGCCAACGCTGAGCAAGCACCGGATCCCAAGAATTCTCGGGCGATTCCCACAACTCCTTCCGATCCGGTCTGTCCACCCCCACTGTGACAGCAGCTAAGTGCAACCAGTTTAGCTCGCACTTGAACTTTGGAAATGTCAGCCATCGTCAAAAGGTAGTCTTCTTCTTGTGTAATCCTAGCACTTTCAGAAGTACAATTAGGGGAGAGAGCAATTTCTCCTCTCTCGGCACTACCATGTGCAGCAAAGATGATCAAGCTAACTGTATTTAGTGCTTGAAACACCGCATGTTTTGTTGCGTTCTCTCCAAGCAAAGGCCCAGCAGTTGTCCGCCCATTTTTACTTCTTCTCTAGCAAAAAGCAGCTCTGTGATATTCTTACGGCTTCCCCAACCTCAGGGTCACCCACTATCAGTGCACTGGTTTGACTATGATAGTCCACAGGACTGTCCTAAATGAGCTTGAAACTAAACTTCTCTGAAAGATACTTCTTGCTGGGTGCGTCACGTAAAGCTGCAAATGCAACTCGATACTTGGACTTATCAGGAACAAGGATGATTTCATTAAGTCTGCCAGGGCTCTTGCTCGCTTAAGTTCTATGACCCGCAGAGCATCTTGGAATTTTCCGATTTGGTGAAGTATCCCATTACAGACTTTTAGAAGACAATGACTCTTATCTTGAAATGCTATTTTAACTTGATCGTTGCAATCACTGAAATTTCGGAAATTTTCAAATAGTTGAAGACACTCTAAAAGGTGGGGATCTATTTTCTGATTCCTTGAGTTTTTTACGATACTTCAAAAATACTAGAATTGAAAGGCCTTTTAACTCAATCATAACGTATCCAGTGCTGCTGCTTAATAAGCGTGTCATCTCAAAGTACTGTTCGGCCTGCTTAGTATATTATATTCTTTAAGACCCACAAACACCACTTCTAAGTCAGAATAAACTTCTGCTTCCCCTATTTTATCGCCAATATCCAAAATGATACCGAGCGCTTTCTCCAAACATTCCTTGACCTTTTTATATTCTCCTCGATGACGAGAGATAATCACTTCAATTTTGTAATCAATTGCTTCTTCTTCTCTTCCACCAACTCAAAATCTAGTTTTACAAGGAAAGGAAACGCTCATAAAGAGTTTCATTTCGAAATTTAGGTGGATGCTTTTTGCCTATAAACATTACTACGAAATCGTATGATAGAGCAAAATGTAACATTCTGATAAGGGATGTTCAGATAGGGAAGGGAGGAGAAGGAGGTGGGGGGGCCCATGTATGGCCCATAAACAAAATTATAAAGCCTTTGGTCTGTAAAAACTTTGTTTCAATTAGAATTAAACTTACAATTTATGCATTGCGAGCGTCTAAGCACCCAACAATATGAAAGAGAAAGTGTGATTGCTGGGTCGGTCGTTTTCGACTAAGTTTCTTAATATTATATTCCAGACAGTTCCCTACTCAAGTTCTTTTGGAAGAGACCATCAGCTAACTTCCAAATGTCCAAAATTTCTGTTTGCACGACATTATTGCCTGGTGAAATGCATACGATACTGAACAAATATAGAAGCCTTAGCTGTGCTCTGTTCTGTTGTAAAGCAACAACAGAACAGAGCAACAACAGAACAGAACAACAGATAGCTATCGATATTCCCACATTCTAAACCCCTTAGAATTACGTAGCAGTTTTATTTTGTACGCTAACTAGCTACTACTACCTCAGATCATACTCAGGCTATATCTTCTACAAATATGCATATATATGTCTGCGTGTGTGTGTCAATCATTTAAGGAGAAAAGCTGTTATTATATAGAGGTTCTGAAATTATTATCATTAAATTGTAATTGCACCTATACTTTAGGAAGTCAACTAAGATTACGAATGGGATGACAAAAATGATTGAAAAGGAAAATGGAAAAGACGGACAAATTGTTGTAGTTTCAATTTTAGATAGAGGGCCACAAATTTACTAGTATCTGTAACTGTTCCGTGCTACCTTCTTGAAACAAAGATTAATTATTTGTAAAAACTAGTTTGCTTTGCAGAATAACAGCTGCGTGAAATTCGTATTCCAATCTCCTTCTTTTTCAAAATAGTAATAATAATAAAACAGAAAGAAAGAAAGGTTTTTTTTTTTCAGGACTGTATGTTCATTAAGAAACACGCAAGTACAGTGCTTCATGTTTATTGGACGGGTGTTCTACGAATTGCGTCATGCAATTCGTGTTGCAAACGCTGGTATTTCACCTTCAATGGCGCTGAGTGTTCTGGACCCCTAACAATTGATGGTCTCGTTTATATAGGCAGTGGAAAAAGTCAAGATCTTCATCGCGTCGACAACATTGAGGGCCACTGCAATAACATTCACAAAGGCAAGGTACGCGTTGGGTTCTGGGTCGGTAATTGCCCAGGATATGGAAGCGTGGATGCCTACACAGGCTGGAATTCAGTTTCCCGGATCTTTATCGAGGAAGTTCCTAAGCCACCGTGATTGTGACAATCTTAGAGCGTAACACCCATCATTTAGAGGCTGACAAACGGAGGAGCAAAAGTTTCTGCAGTTGTGTAGCGCTCAGTTTCTCTATGGGTTTGTTTTGTAATGGTATTTAATTACGCTGATGAAATAAAGGGCAAATGTAAAAACAGAGGGCTTTTGCTTGTTCGCTTTTTCCCGGCTTTTTCTCTGTGTTTTTGGCGCATTTCCTTGATGTTGAAGAGGGTAAACAAATCAGCTGAAAAATTTAAGTTTTCAGTGTAGTCCTGGTAGAACGAACTGAAAGAGCAAGTTAGCCAAAATTAAAGAACGAATGTCATCTTTTTTCTCGACAGTGTGAAAGGATTCTTAATTTATTCAAAATACCGGGCAAAAGCCGCGTCTTTTTGTCTTTTGACTGTCCATCTGTCCATCATCCCTAAGTGGCCAACTGAATGTAAAATTTTTAGGGGAGTTGAAAATTTAATTCCCCAAGTTGTTTGATTTTTACAGATAACTTGGTTTATCAATTGAGTTGATACAAGATATTATAATATCTGGGTTGATAATGTAAATTGGCCACCTTAAAGAGTTACGAGCGTTAGTCCGTCGTCATTCGCACTGACGAAGGGCTAACGCTCGAAACGTCAGCTTACGAAACTCTTTACAGTGGCCAATTTACATTATCAACTTAGTCGATAGATAGAGAATAACACATGGGCGCGCGTTAACATGAAATTTCTTTTCTAGTGTTTAACTCGAGAGTTCACGAGTGAGCGCCGCGAACGAATGAGATGTCGAGTTGAACACGAGAAGAAAAATTCCATATCTATAAGCAACCATGAATTACTTTGTTTGTTTTATAAACACAGTAGCCCTTCACTAAAAAGAAATGTCGACTTTATCAACGAATGAAAATAAAAGGATCGACAATTCCTGAATAAAAATCGTAAAGTGCGTCGGCGCTATGGCTCAAGATGAAAAAATGTGTTGAATCATTGCAAAAGCAACAATGGGTGTAATTTTCGATAACAAAATTATCAGTGATTGACTTTGTCCTTACCGACAGAAAAAATCTCTTAGGTACACGGCCAAAATCGACAGGTGGCAAATCTTCCGGTTGTCGATTTTCGTTCTTCTCGTTTTCTTTCCCCTCCAGTAAAGTTTGAACAGCACTGCCTGGCAGCGATACGGATTTTTTAGTGTCTTAGCAGCCATAATCCGGAAAAATTTCGACAAACAACCATGGATTGAGAATGGTGAAGGCTTATATAGGGTGAAGGTATTATACTCTGTAGACATCTAAAGAAGGATGGAAAATGTGCCCACCTTGAAAATTTATGAGAACGGTAATCATATTAAACAGCCGTTATCTTCAGATTTAATGAACACATTTTTTTCTCAAACTGCCCACCCCCCTTCCTCATTCGTTAAGTCGATTTTCTTTTGGAATATTCCTCAAATTACTTCGCTTTCGACGAGAAATTAGACCTTGTCAAATATCTGTCGGAGAGAAAACGGTAATGAACTCAAACATCATCTTATTATCTCTAATGATTTTTAATATCTACTCAATAGTAGCTCTAATTTACATTCGATTCTCCCTGTCCGCTGTCAATATTATTTTTATTCAAGCCGTTTTCGGGCTTTTTAACTGAATACTAGTGTTCTGCACTGAATTTTGGTTTTTGATGCAGATGCACGGCTTAGAGAGCTACTTTTGCGTACACAGAATAATCAGGTTCGCTCCGAAGAAAATGTATCAATAAAGGTAAATAGGCAACTTCTTTCATGGCAGATTTAAAATAATAAAATTGACAGTACAGTTTTTCTTCATAGTGTTGCAAAGCATGAATAACTGAAATTTTCAAGTAACCTAGACTTATTTCGAGGACAGGTCGATTGAGTTTCCTAATACCAGCACGAACGTAATCACAACAGTCAATTAGACAAATGGAAAAAACACAAGAATCCTATTAGTACATAAATAAAAAACCGCAAACTGCCTAAAGCAAGCGACCATGTCGCGATTGTTTTCCTGTTTTCCGTCAGTTTGAGAGTGGGGCTTACATATGCAAACGCATAGTACTTCGAGATCACTATCTTCACTCAATTAAAATTGCTCAATACATCTTAAAAACTATATAATTTACCATTCTTTTACAGTTGTTTCCATAGTCGCGAGCTTCAAGCACGCACTGTAGATTTTGTTTACAAGATATATATATGATCATACAATGATCATCAAGAGCTGAATGAGAGGATGAAAACGTTAATTGTGTGTAATATTCATCGCATTGGCCGATTTGAAAACTTACATCAACCGACATTAAAAAAAAATCCTCTTGCATTAGACAAAAACACGGAGGAAATCAAATCTTCTCCAGCGAGTAACATCTGTTCAAACAGCCTTAGATTGTGTAGGCTCAATAAATAACATTTTTACCAAAACTTGTTTCGTTGAGAATAATGTTGCTCAAATGCTAAACTGCAGAGTATAATGAGAAAAAATAAGATGGCAATTTTTATCACATCTTTCTCTGTCGTCGACTTAATTTATCATAATCAATGTTTTCATCGATGTTAATTTCTCAAGAGATGTTCAACGATTTGGAGAAATCGTTGTGAATTAGAAAGGTGGGTTGTCTATGTTATGAGGAAGACTGTCTCGCAACAACGAGTTTTGAATAATCCAAACCCAACTTTACAAAATTTTTCCACATGAACTTTCTTTGACTAACTCCTGTTAAAACTAGCACTTCTAGGCATTTCTAAATTTTTCGAGCTGTTCCTCTTCGACCTTGTATTACTTAATTACAGAGGCGCACTCTGAAATAAATTTTTTCCTCGGACAATACGAGATTTGTCGTGGTCCAGACATCCATTATATGTGATAAACAAGAAGTTTATTGACATGCATAGAAATTGGAAATGTGCTCTTTCGTTTCAGTTTAGTTTACCAGGAATAAGTAAGACTGATTTTGATCGCAACTATGGAAGACATTTCTTTACTTTGTTGGGTTAGGTAAGAATTTTAGATTCGAGCTTAATTAATCTAGATTTGGAAGAGAAAATTTATTGGTAAGGTTTTGTTATCAAGTTCACGACACGTAAGCGTTTACCATGGGTTTAGTAGTAAACTTCATTTCATTGGACAGATTGGGAACAACTAAGCTGGTCTGACCAATAATTTTCTTGTAAGAATGGTTCTTGTCATCTAAAATTATTCTTGAACCAATGTTCTGCTGACTTGTTTTATCGAGAATCATTCCACATGAGGCAGCGAACAGTGACAAGGAGACAAGACAAGAGACTTCTCTTACATTGTAAGCCACTACTCTTGCCGATTTTGATTTTCTATTAGCTTGATATAATTGAAATACAAAATTTCTTCTGTTTTTTTCTATTCAGTTAACTTCACAGTCCTGAAGATTTTGGTGGCAAACACGAAGGTAAATCAAAATTTATTTCAATACCTGGCTCTAGCTCTGCCTTAAAGTGCGAGCCACAGAGTTACGATAAGAACCATTATAGTTTATAACGTCTGCAACCATCTTTTCCTGCTTAAGTTCCTTATTATGCTCAGAAATTATTCTGATACATCTTGATCAAAAGCCATCCCCTCCAAACAAGCATTCATTGGCGGACAGATTCCGCGCTGAAACAAAAGTAGTCAATCAAAAATGTTTCCTCTCTGGCCTCCCAAAATTCAGTTTAGTAATCAATGGTATTGATAAACTCCACCGCTTTAAAAGCACCAAGTAAAACTGCTTAAAATTGTAGCCAAAGGATTATCTTTTGAATAAGTGTTAGAAATATATGGTTGCTAAGTAGACATCTCAAACTTACGGGAGTAAAACACAGGGTTTAAGCCAAAATTTTAACCGTTAGCCGTAAAAGCAATAGCCCCATTGAGACTCTCAAATAAAACCGAATATGAGAGCATTGAAAAGTTTAAGCGTAAAATTAAAATTGTTGATAGAAGCTTAAAAGTTGAAAAAGCGTTTTGGATAACAGGAAAAGCAGGAACTGCGGTTTTTTCCTTCAATTTCACTGGATGTTTAAATCATTTATAACTAGGGAGGAACAAAGTTGTGACACCGGTTCGAGGAAAATGCCTATCCAAATTTTCAAACTTCTTCATTTAAAAAAGAAATCGTAGTTATTACAATACTTTTGAAACCTCCATGCGCTGAAGAAAGTTACAAATAATCGAGAAATGCAGGAGCCTCATGCAAAATTCTTATGTCTTTACTCATATTTGAACTATCTTGTCTCTGAATGAAGTTCTACTGCCATTCCTGCGTCGAATTTGGATCATGCGAAAAAAATTTCAATTTAATACTTCACTGCTGATATCAACAGCTACGAGCCTTTATGAGCCGATAAGATCTTTTTATATCTGTATTTTTTAATATGTCGTCCGTGTTTCTTTCCCGCAGACGTTTCCTTGATCTTACTAAGAATTTTATGTTTGCTTATTTCTAAACAGATCACCTATACAAAATGGTGGTAAAAACTGCAACCTTCTGGATTTCTTTTTTCGCGGTGTCATATTTGGTTTTCTGTCGCGCAGCGAATAACAAGTCTAATAAACCATCAAACAGCAAAGTGGTAAGTTTTAAAATTTTTTTTGATATCTCTTAAATAAGTTTTGAAATAAGGATTCCTTTCTCCACGAAAAAGAGCTAACCAGTACTTGTCTGTGATGAAAAATATTAGAAATTTTGGATCCATGTCACTTAAATATGTTCATGAGAGCTTTTTCATTAGAATTTACAGGAAGATGTTAGCATAACAATTACCTTGAACACAAAATTTGGGAAGCCTTAAAACTATTGTGAAAAATGAAGGAAAAATCTATTGATGTCTCCGAGTTCTATCTTTTTAAAAAATATCTCACATTCATACCAGCAACCTCCACCATATTTTTATGCTGGGATGCCTGGTATGCACGGAAAGCCTGGGCTCCCTGGTGCACCTGGTCGTGACGGCCGTGATGGACGCGAAGGAGTTAAAGGCGACCGAGGCAGCCCAGGGAAGACTGGACCTCAGGGACCTCCAGGTCTCAAGGGAACTCCGGGTGTTAAAGGAGAACCTGGAGTACAGGGTCCTCACGGCAAAAAGGGGCAGCGGGGAGAAAGTGGGAAAAATGGAATCCCGGGGACTCCTGGTGTGATGTCTTTTAAGAACTGGAAGGAGTGCGCGTGGAACAACTTGAATGAAGATAAAAACCACGGCCTGATTAAGGTGAATAGCTATGATATTGAGACGAAAAATAGTTTAACATACAACTGCTGTAGTATCAATTTTAGTTTTTAGTTTCTTCGTTTGCAAACAACATTAATTTCTCACAAACAACGAAGTCACGCTTACTAAGTCCCTTCTGAAGTTACGCTTAGGGTTGCACGTCATTGTCAGCATATCTTCGGTTCCTAGTAATTCTTTTCTTCATTTCTCGTCACTCTTTTTCACAGGAATGTGTGTTTACCAAGAACTTTTCCGACACATCTCTCCATGTTTCCTGGACTGGAGATTTTCGAGTCTTTCGCTGCATCGACTGCTGCAAACGCTGGTATTTCACTTTCAACGGTGCTGAATGTTCAGGTCCCCTACCAATTGACGGTATTTTGTACCTGGGTAGTGTTAAGTCTCTAAATCCTCATCGTGTCAGCCATATTGAGGGTCACTGTAACAACATCCACAAAGGCAAGGTGCGCGTGGGGTTCTGGGTCGGTAATTGCCAGTCAAGAAGCCAAAATGATTACGATGCCTTCACTGGCTGGCAATCAGTGTCGCGGATCTATGTTGAGGAAATCCCAAAACCACAAGCTTAGATTTCTAAACTTAACATCCATTCCTGCATAAACGCTTTTAAGGTGCTTTTAAACATGGGTTTGCCTCGTAACAATTGCTGATTTCTTGATGAATAAAAAGCGGGAAGAAAATGGAGAGTATTTTGTCTGTCTGTGTCTCTACTTACTTTACTGATACTGAACAACTCGTCGAATGGTGTCCTTTTTGTTAATTCGACATATTTTCAGACTTTGAACCTGTCTTGTTGCACCAAATTTGAGTTCTCTGGTTCCCTATGATACTTTTGCTGGTCTTGATGGGCCTTTCTGATTTTTTTTGAGTTTAGTTTCTTCAAGACCGTGTTTTCATTACACTTAAAATATCTAAAAAAAACACCATTTTCAAAGGGTAAGGCCATTTGTCCGCCCTCAATTCGAATGAGATATCGATTTGGGAAGGCCTTTCAGAAGGCGCTCATCAAAAGGGTTAACTTTGACAAAATATAATTTTAACTGTTTGGTTAAACCTACCGTCCTCACTATGGCCGGTTCGTAAAGTGACGTCATTATTGCGTTGCTCTTTGTATCTTTTGACGGTACAATGACACCCTTATTGCGCACATGCGTACGCGGATGCAGTCAAGAGTTTCTTCCTCTGGAGATAATTGTGCTTTCAAACTCATCCGTTTGGCGAAAAGTGGTTTAGGCGTTTTCCAACAGCATTTCCAAGTTCGCTTCTTTCTGCCTATCCTTTTGATTTTGCAGATTGGACACGGCCTGGGTCCAGGGTCAATTTTTTCCCGACCATGCGTGTCACAAGGTAAGTAAGGTGCATAAATTGACCATACCACCCCTGGTCGAGAGAAATTAACTTTAGACCCAAGTCTCTTCCGCGGCTGTGTCCTGTCTGCACATCAAAAGCATAGGCAGAATGAAGCGAACTTGGAAATGCTGGTGAGTAACGCTCGTTGTCAGGGTAATGCGCGGGGAGTTTTGGAATTGAGAAATTTTTCAGGGCACAATGATCTTAGATCATAAACCTTGGGTGAAAACATTGCCGATCGTTGTAACAATAACTCGTAACAACTCTACATCAATTTATTCTTTATCATTTTTTTTAGGAACAGAAGAGCCGTGACTGGACTAAAATGAGAAATACTGCGGCAGAAGTTTGATAAAGGCACTGCATTGGACTTCAATAGGAGAAAACTCTCAGCTTTATAGAGTATTGAAATTTTTTACCCACGAAAAGAACCGGTTACGTAGATTTCGATGTTGGTTTTAGCCAATATTTTAGTCACCAAGTTATTTGGATACTCTCAGTTTACAAAACTTTTTTATCTTTTATTCGGGTTCTAGAATGCAGTAGTAGAGAAACCCTATTGGAATTTCTCTTTTGGCAGTTTCTACGTAAGGTGAATTCAGTAAGAATTTTGGTCACGTTGTGTATTGTTTACTAAACTGAGACTGTTTTGAACGAAAAACTGAATAGCTCAGTTTTAGACTCGTCAAGACTTTAAAAGTGTAATTTTTTAGAGGTTTTTGAGAAGAGAATAACTCATATTCTTCTCTCAGAGGGATCCTCTTTGATTCAATTAGTTTGGCCAACTTCTACATGAAATAGGTAACATTCTCTAGAAATCAGGTTTAAGACAAACCGCGCCTAGTATCGACTGAATGTGACTGTTTTGGAGCTACGACGTAACCAGTGACTAGTTATTCCATGATTTATTTTGTAATTTTTTTATGGGAATACTGATCCAGTGAGTCATTTTCCTCAATCGTTATCTGTCACATGTTTAGATTTACCGTAACATTTTTTCTTGCATTAAATATTTTCATTTGCCTAAGCATGGTAGCCCTGACGCCTCGTGTTATTTTCCCTGCACTCTTTATGTATCATCAAACACTAATTGCGGACTGTTCAGACTTTCGTTGTTTCCAGATTAAGCCTTGCATGGGCGAGAGCCTGAAGAAAAAAGACCAAAACAAATATCCGTGAAGGCAGTTTGAAAAACAATTTTGGTACACAGAGCTCAAGATGGCACTTTTGGAGAACCTTACGGTGCTCTAAAAATACTGCAAAACCCGCAAAATATCCGTCCGTATCGTTTAGCCACCAATTCAGGTGTATGAAATAAATTGAAAAGAGAATTTCTACCATGAATTTAACAATTGACTGTGCTTTGTTCTGTTGTGAAGCAAGCAGGAAGTGGCTGAAGCCAGAAAGAAGTGTAGGGAGAAACACGAGACGTAGTTAAGTGTTTCTCTCTACTTCTTGCTCACGATGACGCATTAATGTAAAGGAAATAGGGGCTTATTAAGGCCATAACTTGTGTGCCCTCTCGGCAGACAGGCGAAAAGAAATTGGATTTTTTAATGCGTCATTTCGCTGCATAATACAGTCGTAAGAGAAGCACTAAAGGGATGGCCATAGCGACATGTTGCTTTTTGTTACACAAAACTCAGTGCGGTAACAACCAATTTAATTTTTTTAGCAATCATTCATTTCGTATCTAAGCTTTTTAAGACAGAGTAATGTAAACTCAACTAATACCGGAAATTTTTGGTAACACTTACTAAACACAAGTTTAAAGACAATTGACACGGTAGAGGAAAAGCACAAAGTTACTATGTGTGATGAATAGCGAACGCAGTAAAGTATTGCGCAGTATAAACTATGCAATAATAACTATAGATAACAGGATGCCTTGAAAACATATTTTAGTAAGGTAGCGTTACTGATATTACGCGAGGGTTTTTTCTTGAATTATACAATTGAACGATGTTTGGTACATAAATCAAGCATAGTAGGCCTCATTGGTACTGAACTAGTGCCAAAATAAAATGCACCACAGAAACGTGGGTCTAAGAAGAGAAGATGATAATTGGTTTAAGCTGGTATTGTCTAAGTCCTTCTTATCAGTCCCCTGTCAGGAAAGACACTTTGAAAGCAGATTGTCAGCTCGGTTTGACTATCCATTCTACGGCTCTTTCAAACCCATTTAACATGGTCACTCGGCGACAGTTTAACAGCCACTTAGCAGGAAACACGCGATTTTGGCAACGGAGGAAGTTGCGGACCATTAACCCGTTATAATCAGCCACTGAGGACCACGTTTGCTTGCGATTACTCTGGAAAGGGACCTCAGAAGCCACTAAAGCAGCTCGGAGGAAGGTGATGAACTCTACACTGTGGTCTTGGTACTCGACGAAAGCCTGTCTCGCGTCGGAATAGGCGATGGCATGACTTTTGGTGTCTTCAAGGACTTTCTTGCGAAAGTTGTCTCCTCGTGTCAAGTCGCATGCAAATTTGGCAGCCTTGAATTGCCAATCTGTAAACTGGACCCAGTTCTGAAATTCGGTGATGATGACTGATAAAGGGTTATTGAGATTCATGTGAGGTAACAACGTGTCCAGAAGTGTCCCCAGTGGTACAAAGTCAGCGATGTTTGAGGTTGTCACTCGATCATACTTCCGGTCTGGTGGAAGGAATGGAGTTATCTCCATACAGTTGCACAACAGGAAGTGAAATTTCACTTGCCTTGTCGCCAACCTCACAGAGCATTTCTTGAGCACTTGACCAACATACTCACTGTACATTTTCAGAATTGATGGTGCTCTGCTCACACGGCAGACATCGTTGTAATCCCATGATAAGAAGGGAGAGACAGAAGACTGAATGATGTAAGAAAATGGGCCTCTATTACGACTGATCTGATAGTCAGAGCCTGTCAAAGTGAAATTTTCAAAAAAAAGTGCGCCTCTTGATTCCTTGGACGACAGGATCCCGTTGGCAAACCAATCTGATGCAGACTTTTTATGCTCTTTCGGGATTTCGGCCAAGTGCAGTTTCATACCTTCCTTCGCTTGGGGGTTGTCAAAGCGCCTACGTCGAGCTTCTGATATCCATTTTTCCTTCCGTGAGCTAAGGTCCAGCCAAGTGCGCCACACGTGTGTGACCTCTTTAAGTTGGTTTTGCTCCATCCTCATGGTGTCTCCTGTCAGCTCTTCAAGGCTGGACGTTTGGATCAGCTCTTCCAGGGCATTGATGACCAGCTTATAGTCATCTTCGCTGAGACGCAGTGAATACCAAATCTGCGTCACGGAACTTGCAGCTTCTTCTCCGCCTATTGAAGAAAAAAAAAGTATTATTGTTTTTTAAATGGACACCCTTTGACAACATATGTTGCTCGATCAGCGCTGTAAAATAAAGAAATGAATCGTAGCATGAGGCCCGTCTGGAAATTGGTTGATGAAAGCGTCAGTCTTGGTCATGGTAACTGGGTTGTTAACATTCCACAAGCATACAAAAGATCCAGCCCTACATCTTTCTGGTTCCAAAATTCTCCCTCCAGAATCAGGGCCTGTTTACATGGAGGTGGGGGACCCCAGGTAGGTGAGGTAACCCGCTAAGGCGGGGTAACTCGCCTGTGCATATAATCTTTTATTTTATCTTGATCCCTTTAATATGATAAGTGGATTCAGCTAAGGGTTGCCCGGTCTGCTGGATAGGGTAACCCTGTCAGCCGGGGTCGCAATTTGCTATCTAAACGTCTCAAGGTGGAGTAACCCACCTAGCCGGGGTCGCGTTCATATTACATTTGCCAACAACCTTATCCCGGGATCCTATGCAGGGTTGTTAGTTGTATGTAAACGCCTACGGCTCGGTGGGCTTCCTCACTTACTTGGGATCTCCCACCTTCATGTAAGCAGGCCCTGATTTTACAGTCCCAATTTTAGTCCCATGGTGTTCTACAAGACCCTGATCCATTTTTTAAAACTGATCTGCTGATGCACAATTCGATTTCCTTGATTAACTGCTTTGTGACTCTAATTGATGTAATCGTATACCTTACCTTTTAATATTATATAGAGTAAAAGTATCGTTCTGGCCAGTGTGCAGGCGCAGATGTCATTCAAGACAAAGGTCAGCTCTTCTTGATAAACTTCTGGAAGCTTCGAGACGGACAATACGATATTGCGTGGGTCACCAACGCCACATGCAAGGACTGAGATAGGCTTTGAATACTCAGAACCTTCGTTCAGTGGGAATTTTATAAGATCTTGTGCAGGAATGTTACCCCAGTAGTAAACTGTTGCAGTGCCAGGCGTAAACTCTACAAGGTCGTGGAGTTTCTTGATGTTTAAAGACATTTCTCTTGTATTTCTCGTCATTTTTTGACAGGATGCTTTGTGTGCGGGCCAGGATTTCTTTAGGCAAGTCTGATTGCAATACCAAGCTTGCAGGCAGCTACCACACTGTTTCAATCGGCTGCTTTCCTTGCTGCATCCGGAACATGTCCTCTTTAAGGTGGCAGTTTGGCAGTCCACTTGATGTCGAAACAGATCCCTGTTCTTGCAAGTTTCGCTGCAGTAATAAGCTACTTCGCATCTACTGCAGCACACTTTCGGAGTAGGTGACTTACAAGAAACATCACATCGCCAACATTGATCATTCTTCAGCATTTTCGCCAAATTATCTCCCTGGATGTGCGAAACCAAAACGATTTCATACGAGCGGGAGGCTTAGTGTAATTGCTGCGCATGCGTAACATAACATTTTTCTTTCCACGAAAGGAAGCCGGTTTCCGAGAATCGGTCATTACAAACGTCTGCATTCATTACAAGCCACAAAATGATAAAAAGTGTTGTTTAGGCTATCATCAGTTTTCAATAGGAATAGAACTAGAATAGCAACATAAACATGCACAGCCCTCTGTTCCGTGGCCACAAATATCTCTAACAACTTTTCAGGCCACTTTCTCTCTTTCTACATATGTGGTCGAAGAGTCATACACGAAAATATCTTACACAACGACAATAAGAGCATAGGCTTACATTGCCACCTGTACTTGTTAGTCAAGTTGACGGGAATTGTTTCCACGTCATATCCGGCATAATCTGTCTTCGAAAACGCCTCTGTTCTCAGTAGCGGCGTCGAAAATAGATGAGTAAGACAGATACAAAATGTGGCAGGTCACTTTGAAGTTCATTTTCACTCAAGATTTGAGCGAAAATTATTATATGTTGTTGATTGAAATTTGTATAAAATGAACACACGGCGCTTGCCTAGCGGCTAGCCTTCATGAGGGGCAAGAAAACCAGAGGAGTCAATTTCACTGCAAGAATCGAAAAATAAATATTGTTTTGAATCCTAGAAGCCGGACTGAAGCCTGGTAAGGTTACTTCGGAAACGCGATGACACAATTCTCAAGAGGTAGGGAGGGGAGGGGAGGGACAGTAGGCCTTGGCCTTTAAGACGGCGGTGGTTAATTACCTGCATGGACATGTTTAATTTCCCTAATTAAGTCTGACGTGAATGAAATAAATTAAATGACAAACGGATGGCAAGTCAGTCAAGTCTCTTTAGCGACGAAACTCGTGTCATTTGAGATCAATTTGCGAGAGACTTCCGCGTTTCAAGAAACTAAGATAAGGAGCAATAATCGATCATAACCTGAAACAAGGAGTCGCCATAGGAACAGCCTAGTATTAGCACCAACTGAACACCTCTTTAGTTGGATTACAGGATTAGCAAGCGGATAATCATGATAATGATATTGCCTACGGGAGCTCATTCCCTCTCTCGCTTCTATTTTCCTTTGTTTCTTGACTCAATACGCCTTAATTGATTCGCATATCGTTAAATTCTTTGTCAGAAACATAGTGTCAGTTTTGTTGTTATGAACAATTTAGTATCACGGAAATATGAAAAAAAACCTCGATCGAAAGGAAATAGAACATTAAATCGGAATTAAAACTCTAACACCATGAAAATTAAAAGACAAACGAACCAAATTAGGAGAAAAGAGGCTTGGCTTTCTTTGTTAGAAGCCACTTGAAGTTCTTAGTGTGTAAACATTGTGGCATTGAAATCCAGACAATTGACTTTGAATTCAAATCGCAGTAGGCCATTACCGCGCACTCTAAAAATAATATCATTAATCATAAACTGTCTGACAAAATTGCTTTGCCGTGATTCCTTGAGTTAAAATCTTTTACTTTTCGATAAGAAATTTTTTCAAAGAATAATTTTATCAAAGGTTTTGCGAAAATGTGGGTTGTTTTGTATCGTTTGTTTAAATTGCGAACATGAAATTCCAATTAGTGGTTGTTGCCGGATAATTAGTAAGGCGCGCTTGGGGCTCGTTGCCTAGCAACACAAATTTATAAAGAAAGAAAAATCACATTCACATATTCAAATGAATTTTAAACGAGGTTGCGGAAAATGGACAGCAAATTCAATAACGTATTCCGCGGTGGGAAAGCAGGGTGAACAAGTCAATAATTCCTAAACAATTTGATATGGAGACAGCTGACGATCCGAATGTAGAAGCGGGCAGTAAAGAAAGAGACCTGATCGAAAAGCTACTCGATTCTAGCGAGAGTAGTGCGGAGGAAGATTTTGACCGAGTCGTGTTCTCGAGCAGCTGGGATGAGGTCGCTTGTGGATGGAAACACACAGCGCCGAACGTTCGATATATTTCTTCTGCTGATCGAAAGAAGAAGACTAAAGATAAATATTGGCGAAGTAGCCCGGATTCTGAAAGCCATTACGCTAAAGTGAAGCGTCTCGCTGGAATGATCACAAATTCGAATTCGAACGTAAATAGCGTCACTGAAATAAACAAAGTGAAAGCTGGAGGAACGTGGCCGGGAAATAAGACGGTGAGGACAAATATGCGGAATTTTCAAAATGCTGATGTGCTATCTTACGATAATCCTTGTTGGAGATATATTATTGATCCACGAACGTTGGAATATGTCGAGAGAACTCCGCTCCAAGTGCTCAGAAACATGACCACCTCTCACAAGTATCCGAACCAAACACTCGTTCTTGAGAACGGTGGTATGATCACTTTTCAAGAGACCAGTAATGGAAGTATTTCTATCAGCGATCCGGCCCAGACGTTTGATCGTCGTCTCGTGGAAAACCTAGATCTAAAGGGAGAGTACTCTGTTAATAAGGGCAGGTTTCCTTTCAGTTTTGAGCCTTCCGTTCGTGTTCCGTTGATCACCCAGTACCGAACAGAAGACCATAAAATCAAAGTGATACACGCGGTAACTGCGCGAAAGGAAAACTCTGTGGTTTCATTCTGCGATTTATGCCAATTAGGAACTCAGGATATCGTCAAACCGTCTTGTAAACTGGAGATCAGTACGAACAGTTCAACGGAGCTTAAACCTTTACAGAAGATCACACCAATACAGCGGCAAACAGCTGATGACAGCCTCTTGGCCACTAAAGTTTTGGGATCACATTCTAAGCGATCGGACAATTCTACTTGTTCAAAAGGGTCGAAAAAATCGAAGGAACAGAAGGTTGCGAGCCAAAAAAGAAAGTTTGGCCCGGGAGGGGAGGGTAAGTTGGACTGGCTACCAATCACTAGGAACACCGTTGGATACCCATATCCTTCAACAGCTGTGAGTCAGCCTCACGGTAAATTTCCTGAAAGACCATCAGGTGGTTTCACCAAGGCATTCTCTTTACCAAAGCGCAATAAGAAAGGAAAGAAACTGACTCTAAGTGAAGCTGCAAATTTAGTTCCAAGTGGGGGAAAGCTGGATGATGCACTGAAAAAACTGTCTCAAGAGTTAGACAGAAAGGTGGAAAAAGGCTTAAGCTTTTCTGAGCCTTTGTTGCCAAGTGTTTCTGGAACAAAACTGGAAGTGCCAGCTTTGGCCAACATGTGTGACAACTGATGTCAGAGAATGCTATAAATCATACTTCATCAGGCATGCAAAATATTGGAACTTCCGCAGTATCAGGGCAGACAGTCAAGTCTAACTTGTGATAAAAAAAAAAACCCTCCCTACACAGCACATTACACTACTGCCTTTAAGTCTATAAGTGTCACGAGTTGCTGGAAAAAGAAGTTGATCACTAATCATCTCTGTTTTTTCCTTGATTGTGGTTAACCATTTTTTATCTTCTATAAGTGAAATGTACAGGTTTCAAGTCAAGATGAATAATACAAAAGTCAGGACTGAATTTAAAATCTTGGTTGCGGATTTTTATATATCATCTCTGAAGTGTAGAGTGATGGCAATGATATAAAAAAGTATTTTTATTTGAAGAAAATTTAAAACAGTACAGTCATTATCAGCATTAGGAATAATTGATAAGGAAATGAATGATGTAAATAGACAATTTTTTCTTTTCTTTTTCAGCTTTAAGGATAATCATACTCAACAATATCAGGAAATTTTTCAGTGTACACATTCAGCTCAATCACTTCGTTTGTAATATAATGACAAATGCATAGTTCTCTATTTATTGAATAAAAACAACATCAACTTCAATCAGTAAATGTTTGAATTTATTGTTTCTTGATCAGCTCGGTAAAGTCTTTTTTTGTGGCAAAAATTGAAAGTAAATGGTGACAAATGTAGATGGGGCAAGGTGGGAGGAGAAGAAAGCAGAACTTCAATCATACAATTCTTCATCAGGGAGTTGGAATGTCCCAGTAAGAGTACTTGCCTCCCAATGGCATTTCCAGAGTTTGATAACCAACTCCATTATAACGTGGTTTGAGTTGTTGCTCCTCATCCTAGGGTGGGGATGCAGCTGCCCAATGGTTGGTACTGGACTCTGAATCAAGAGGTCTGGGTTTCAGGCCTGGCTGGGTTGTTGTGTTGTATTCCTGGGCAAATCACTTTACTTTAACAGTGCCCCTCAACTCAGGAGTCTAAATGTGTATTGGCAAATTGTTGAGGAAGTCTGATGGAATGTTGGGGGGAGGGAGGTAGCCTTGTGATGGTTGTAATAGACTGGCATCCCATTCAGGGGGGAGAGTTAGTACTCCTAATCACTTCAAGCATTATAAACTGGGATAAGCTCCAGCTTGATGGGCCACTTAGCTGGAATTCAGACAAATTTCTCGAAACTAATTGTGTAGCAGCAAGAGTAGAAAATTAAAAATCAGATATTGGGAGTTGAAAGATAAATAATGCAACCCATAGAGTTACATCTATTTTATTTTGCAATGTTTATTGCATTTTTTAGGAATGCTACAAACCACTATGTCTGAGTTTCAACACTGGATGTAGGACAGTTGTGATCAACAACACTTGAACAGGTTTGTGTTTGACAACCTGTGGAGGTGACTGAACCACTGCCAAACTGTTCAAACGTTCGTGATGCGTGTGAGCAGCGTGAATCTGTCTGGACACTGGATGACAACAGACTTGAACAACCCAAGTCACTCTGCAGGGTTTGAGTTTGTGAATTTGCAAGAACAGTGTCATCAGCCAGCTCAGTAAAGTCAGACATTACTATGGATGTTTGAGTGTGTATGTCTACCAAGTCTTCAAGTGTTTTGTACACAAACTCTTGTCCACTGTTTTCAAGAGCTGGTGAAGTGACTGTGGAGTAGTCATTAAACCATGTTTGAGTCTGCGATTCTGTCAGCTCAATGTCTTGAGAGTCAAATAAATCATTGAGAAGGTTTTGAGTTTGTGTGCCAGAATCAATAGAGCTATTTGCATCAATACCCAGCAGGGAAATTAATGTCTGTGTTTCATTATCCTCTAAAGGAACTTGCTCTAAGCCACTAGTCTGAGTTTGTGAGCTAGTTAATGGTCGGAGGTCACAAAGACCAAAGTCTGAGCTTGTAATATTTGTCTGTGTTTGGATATTCAAACACAGTGGGTCAATGGTAAGAGTCTGCATTGAGTTTTCATTTGTGGAAACAAACCCTGGTCTTTGTTGCCCTGTAACAAAAGAACTAAAGGGAGGAAGAGGTTGAACCTGGGAATCTTGTGGAATTCTTTCTGCAAACCCAAACGGTTGACTACTTCTACTGCCACCCAAGCCTAATTGTGCCAAGAAACTCTCATCAGTGCCAACACCAAAGTCGCAGTGGTTTGTCAACATTGCAACTTGAGTCCCAACCGAAGATTGGTTGTTGAAACCAATACCAAGGTTCCCATCCACGTTGTTGAACTGAAACTGTTGGCTTGCAATTGGTGGAGGAGTTTGTGTGTATGAATCACATCCCTGATCCATATTCACTGGGCGACTGGGTGTTTGAGTACACATACTGTGCACATCATAAGGAGGCTGTGTTTGCACAGACTTGTTGACTGCTCTTTTCCTTGAAGAACTGCAAGAGCCTCTACCAGTTTCTAAGTTTGTGACTGGGCCAGGTTTGGGAAGGATTGGCTGAAGTTTTGCTGTCTGATTTCCAGGACCATGTTTCTTTCCAGAGTCGATTCTTACACATGGTATCGAGGTTGCAGGTTTAACAACAAGTACAGCAAATGCTGGTGCAGGCCCTGAAGATTTTGCACTAAAAATAGATATGAAAATGGAATAAAAGATGATCTGTCTCCAGTAAGGTCTTCTTACCTTATACCAACTGTCATAATAAAACAGAAAGTATTCTTCTCACATGTATCCAATTCTCAAGCTGAATTTATATTAAATATATTCTACTTAACAGCTGCTTAGTGCAACAGCATGTGTTTAGTGAGTACATGGGAAGCTGAGGGAGAACAAAAGATGCATTAAAGTTGCTTGTAGTGTGCCTGCACGCAACTCTGATGTTTTGAGTGCCTGCCAAACTTCCCTAATGCTTCATATCTTAATGAACCTCAAAGATCTAAGAGGCATTCCTTGGAAATGAAGGACACTACTGACCTTGCTGCCTTAGTTTTGTATTCTTCCGGAACTTTGTGCATCTGACGCCGTGCATGGGTGAGAAGTGCTTCCATTGTGGTGTAAGGGCACCCACATGAACAAGTAAACAACTGCCCACACTTGACTTCATGCCGTTTACAAGCCTCAGGCAAACCAAAGCCCTTACCACATTTACTGCAAACATTTGTTTTCTCTGCATGTACTGTCATGTAATGCTGTTTGACAAATGAGAAAAGATAAAAGGGAACTCAGTATGCTCAAATGTTTTTCAAACTTTCTCTTTCACCAAGATCTTGTCAGTAATTCTCCTTACTGCCTTCCTTACAACTTTTTTATGATGTTAGTTTGGCGAATTTGGTATTGGATCAACTAATAATCCCCTGATTGATGTTTCTCTTACTCTCATCACTTGTCTGCTGGATATTGTATTGATGTTGTAGGGAATAATTCTGTCTTGTTAACCTGTCAGAGTATAGGGTTTAAGATGCACTGAAAGTGGTCACAATGTTGTAGTTACTTTATTTGTAAGAGTTTCAACTCTAGATCTTTTGCCTGTGCAGCTAGTTTATAATACCCAATTTTAAACTCATAGTTATAATTCTAAACTTATAATAATTATCATGTTATTTTAATTGTAGACTTATAACTAAAATTATAAACTTAAATTATAATGCTTAATTTCTCCTCCTATTGGTTTTCGTCAATTGTTTTGCATACCTGTTTCAGCTGAGACATTCGAGGGAAGGGTCTCTTAGTACCTTGTCCTCGCACACAATGTTGAACCGGACAGTAAAAATGCTTTTCAACTTGACTCTTTCCCTGACCACGAGTAAAAAGCTTCTTTTCTTTGCCATTCGGCGCGATGCCATGAGTCTTGATCAGGTGCATCCTAAGGCATGGACGATTCTGAAACTCTCTGGAACACCCCTCTGTAGGACAGGGAAAAGAGGCGGCATCTTCCCTTCGAGTAAGGGCTTCCACTGAAGGACAGACTTCTTCCACAAGAGTCGCCATGTTTTTTGTTTTTGATAGTTGGGGAGGAACTGGTGATGAACCGAACCAGACCCTGTAAAAGCCTCGGTCGCCAATATGGCGGACGGGAGAAGTTTCAGCACACCTAAGAGGAAACTGACGATTGATAAATGTTCCTTTCGCGATGAAAAGGAAAGATTCAGACGACACATAGAGGAGCATCCTTTCAATCATGCGGTTTGTTCATATTTGACTTTAATTAGACGCAAATTCTCTTTTGCACTCACGTGGGTTTCCAACATGGGGTCGACTTTGGATTGCTCAGAATGTAGCGCATGGGTCGGGAGCTAGCTTTTAGAGAAAAACTGTATATACTTTGTGTCGGTTTCCTGCGGAAGATAGCTCTTTTTTCATGATTTGTTCAGGTAATTATTTTGAGTATTCTAAAATATTTTTTACTTTGGCACCTACCCCCACCCCCATATCATGCCACCCCAACCTACCCCCTGTTGTTTTCCTTAGGAATCTCTGTTTCGATATAGATCTTCTGGTGAAAAAATGGAAAAAGGAAGTAAGCGCCCAATACCAATCATATAATTGATTAATCAAGCTTTTTGACCAATAACAGAGTAGACATGTCTATTCTCCTCTCTCCTAATTGTTCTTCATACATTTCCTATGGAGTTGACAAAGAAAATTTAGTTGAAAATTACAAGCTTTTCAAGTTAATGATAATTTCCTCAATTCTTGTAAGCCTAATGTAATTTGTAGTTACCAGTGTTCATGGCTAAAATGATTGAGAAAATAATTGTAAGTCACCCTCATCAGCCAATCAATTAATCAATCATGTAATCAATTAATTCTGACTACATTTTTTTTTTTTTTTAATTTTATTTTATTAATTTGATGCTCAGTTTTTATTTCCTATGTAAATTGTAGGTAGAGATTACTGTTCCAGATTATTTACTTGAAAATGTTAAACAGTGCCTCCAGAGCATTTCACCATCTCAGGATTCATATTGTTTGATTGAACTACCAGTGCATGTCTTCATAGAGGTGGAGTTTTTCAAGACATTTCTACAAAGTGGTAATTTTCTGTAGCCTTCTTATTTAAATTTAATTTTTTTTTAATGATATGAACAGCTGCTTGATATTTGCTTCTTTGCAGACTTATTTTTTATAAAATTTTTCTCACAAGGTATATGTAACACATTTTGCACATCTATGTCAAAATAATTATGGTGTAAATTGTTAGTTATCATTTCATGTGCATTTGTATTTGTTTCACAGGTCATTTCATTGCCCTCAGCTGGGAAACATACATTGATGCAGGCAACTGTGCAGCAGTCCTTCCAACTGGTAAGAATGTGGGAATAACTGGATCAGATCTAGCAATCCTTAACTGATAATTTGTTAAGATATGAGAGGGTATGAATTTTCATATCAGTTAATTCTTAGAAGTATTGGATGTGGCCAAGTTGTCCATTCAGCTAAATCCCATTTGTAAAATCAGCACCCAGCTAGCAAAATTTGGTTGTTTGTAACTAATGTTCTGGGAAGATAACTATTTAATTAATATCTTGGGTCCCGCTCAGAAGGAACAAATGAAAACTAGGAATGGCAGCTCCCCAACATTAACTTAACCATTTTCATGCTCTATTTCATTTCTCCGTCTCTATTTTTCTATCATTTCACTTCCCGAGAGCCTGGTATAGCCAAGAACAGTAAGATAATATCTTAGACTGGTTTTTAGATTTACATATCAGAAGCATGGAATTAGTGATTGTAATAGAGAGATAGCTGTGTTAGGGATGTTGCACTTTATAAAAGTAGAGAAATGCTGGAGTTAATACCAATGAGTTGTTAAAGAATCACATAATTTATTTTATTTCTTGGGGAATCGTTTAGGAGTCCTCATTCTTTCTTTGGACAAAGACACATATGAGCAGTTGGGTCTCACAGGGAAACCATCAATGTTTCAAAAGAAACACAGATTCAGTAAGTATTGTTACTATACTTGGCAAATTGTAATCAATCTATCAATTGTAAATAGATTTGATATTGCTGTGTGTCCATTCAGTAATAGATCACAGATGACATAAAAAAGTGGCACATAAGTTGTGACTGAATATGTCATTTATGTTCTCACCACAGTTTGACATCTTTTGTGATCTATTACTGAACAGACCTGCAGCTACATGGGATTAACAGAGAGGAATATACCATAAATGGTGAAGTCGTCTATTCATAAATATGTGTCTGTACTCCAATAGATCATAAGGAAGAGAACAAATCAAAAGGCATGTACAATTTAGCTTCTAAGTAGTACATAAAATGAAATAGTGCATGAACTTGGTTCATGGAAATTTGGAGTCATTTGATTCAGTTTGAGGTATTAAGTTTTAGAGTCCTTAAAACAATTGCAGCGTATGGGGTGTTGCACAGTTTTTTTTTGTTTTGAATTTAGATGTGGAGGTTAATCTGGCTGCACCAAATTTTGTTCCTGGAAAGAAGGTTTATGAGAGAGTCAGATGGTGTCTAAAGGACAACCTACCATTAACATTCAAGTTTCTCATGAGTTGGACAAATGAAGGTAGGCAAAGACATACTGTGTGGTAAAATTTACATGCATGTGGCATTAAACTGGCTCTTGTTTAAAATTGACCCTGCTGAGAAACACTGGAAGTTTAGGTGGTTCAGGGGTTACTCTGCACGCTTAGAGAGTGGATCATAGGCTGAGGTTGTATTAGCATGGCTACATTACACAGTTATGTTGTGTTCCCAGGCAAGACACATGTTACTTTACTATAACACTGCCTCTCTCCATAAAGAAGCATCTTGTTGAATTGGTCAAATTGATCTTCCAGAGAAGCCTGATAAAAAGCTGGGGTGTTGGTCAGTGGTCACTATCATTGTTGCTTGAGTGCAAGGACACACTTTAATTGTTAGAGTCCACCACTAATACTAGATGTAATACAGTCTCCAGATAGGGAAACCCTGTTTTTACCAATTTTAATACCTCTCCTAGGTCAAGTATCAACAAGCAAACTCCACTCTTTCTTCAGTTCATTTGGTTGCCAGATGTTGTATAATACAGAGGATATCAAACAAGTTCAGAACCATCAGAAAGCTCCAAAGATTAGCTTTGACAAATCAAAATTCACAGATAATGGCACTAGCACAGAGACTGGTGTGTGTGACTGTATGTCATTTTTTGAATGGCTTGGCTGTGTTGCTTGTGGAGTGGATTGGTAATTATTATGCTCACTGTAAATTGGGAATCAATAGGAAATGAAATGAAATTCTGTAATTTGCCAAATGAAAATCTGTAATTTGCAAAACGAAAATCTGTAATTAGTCTATCGATCTTTTTTCATTCCTCCCATTTCTTTGAACAACTGAGATCTAATAATTGTCATTAACGGCTTTGTATATGCCACTCTTTGAACTTGAAATGGCTGCACATCCAGTGGTGGTTTTTGCAACAAATCAAACTAAAAACTTTTAACTTTGAGTTAAAAAGAAAACCAAAGCAGAGTCCATGCAAGTTACTTTTAGATTTGTAGCCCCTATTCTTTCATTCTATGAGACTTATGATAAATGTAATTCAACCTATTCCTCAAACTTTTTTTTTCAGCTCAGTAGCCTTGCCAGACAGTTATGTCTCAACACTAACATGTCCAGAACAATCATGCAGCTTGAAACAGCTGATAACATGCCGCTGGACTGGAATGATAACAAGCAACCGCATTTTATCAATTTTACTTACAGTAAGGTAAGATCAAACCAAATGACGCAGGAGTGAAAATGTATTAAATGATAAACGGGGTGATGAAAACTAACAAAATTGTTACCATTCCTGGTATTGGAATTAAAATGTAAACTTTTGTCACTAATAAACTAACTCTTCAGTGCTACACTGGGAATAAAAACTATGCCATGTGTATGTATGGAGGACATTACAACTACCCCATTTTCATGAAATCACTCAAATGGGAGTAAAGCTTACCATTCCTGTATGGGATGCTATTCTATTGCAAGAATTCTCCAAACAGTCTGTAGGTACCACTTGCATAACATATCCTCCAGTAGCAAGTCACATTAATCATTTGAGAAATCCTACCATGGATAGTGAACTAAGGTTTTTAGCCCCTTTTCTGTTCATGTGGGCAATATCGTCGTTCTTACTAAGATGAATGTTAGCTGGACTCATAACAGGGCTGACACTCTTCATTTAAAGACATCAAATTTTATTAAGTTAAATCCTAAGATCAGATTGTGGATTCTCCATTCGATAATTTTGGGTATTGGTATTCTTAGTACCTGTTTGGTGGATAATGCATGAATATCATGGGGAGAAGTTGCATGTTAGTCACTTCTGGGAGTTAAACAGTTAAGGAAAAAGCAGTGAAGAGAGGTCTCTCAAGTCACATTGACAAGGTTCACATGGAGAAGGTTCTTTTACTTATCAAACTTTTCTCTGACAGAAACCTTCTAAAGACAGCTGATCTTCCTTGGGTGGCAGTGACTGTGTGGGGATTTACTGACTGTCCAGTTACATGGAAACAGAATGAACACGGACACTTTGTCAGTGGGGAGAACTTGTACACCTTTGTGGTGTTTCCTAATGATCAGTACTGGCTCTATACAGCTATGGGTGATCAGGATGTTGGTTTATAAGCTGTTATGTGTCTGAAACACTGGGTGACTTAACAAGACATTTGTCATGACCCATGAAAATTGTCAAGGATAGTCACTGCTGGCAGTGATTTTACTGTTTTCTGATCATTGCTGTTGGCATGTGCAAGTAAAGTTGCAGGTGTTTGCCCAATCTGACCATTCTTTTGCCAGTTGCTGTGAGTAGCTAAGTCAATCAGCAATTCAGATTGGGCAATTTTGACTCATGAATTTCCAAAGCAGAGCCTTAAAACAAAGTTGAAGGCCCAAATCACTTTTAAGTGTTAACAATTGCAAAGTCTGCCCTGATGGGTCAGTTAGAATTTCCTCAAACTTTTTCCAGTTCAGCAGCCTCGCCAGACATTTATGTATCAACACTAACATATATAGGACCTTCTAGAACCATCTGTCTTCATGTCAGATATAGTAAATAAGTATTGAAAGAGGGAAAAAACCAAGGCTGCAAATAACAGCTGGTCATCAGACAAATTTTTTTTTAACATCAGGTTTTAGGGGGCAAACATTTGGCCTTAGGAGACACCCTGATCAGAAAAAATATATATATTTAATTTGAAATATGCAGCCTAAGCATGGAACACTTTGGTTTGTAGGCAGGTAGTAATTACAAGACAGTGTGGTTGTAATTCCTAGTGAATGAACAATGTCATCTTCCATGGAAATTTTTTAGGCTTCACCAGATTTGCCTCTTGTCAGGTAAAAACAGCAACTTATACGTAAAACTTACTCATCTGGCTAATGACAAAAATTTATTTTCGGACTTGTCTTGTTCATAGAACAGAAAATAATAAACTTTTGTCTGATATTTACCAGAAAATATTATGAGTTATTTTTTTGAGGCAAATAGTTTTGCTTGGCAATTAATGGAATATATGAATGGAAGATGACTTTACATAATAACTGTTTGTATTAAAATAAGAATTGAAGTATAACTCGTGGGTCTGGATGTCAGAGGCAAGATTTCTGTGTCAGTTAAGTTAAGCTGCCAACCTGTGGAAGGGTTAAATCTAAGTTTGATGTTTACTAAATACCAAAAAGACATGTTACAATTAACTCTTTGCTTATACTCTGAAATTACCTCTCGTTATGTACCTCTTCTAAATAAATAAATAAATGACAACATTCTACTTCACTTGATTTACACCATTTAATATATTTCCACATTTAAAATCATTTGTAAGTCAAATTTAAAAAATACAATAGAAATATGTAAACTATTGTAGAAACAGATATTTGCAAAATAAAAAAAGTAAATTTAAATTAAAATATATACTTCATTCATATGGCTGTAAAGTGCTTGAATTCATAGATGATGAGAATAGAAAACAATTTTCAAATAAATAAAAGTGATCATACTTGTAACTGGAGAAAGGTTTTGTTTTAAAATTTTGTTGTTGAAAAACTTCATAAAAATGATTAAAACTGTGGGTGCTTCAGAAAAATGCATCCAAATTGAAGCACTAAATTCAATCATTAGGCCCTTAATTGGTGATGTCCTTTAAACTTCTTTTCTACGCATTTTCCTTTTCTTTTAGCATAAATGAGTTCCTAGATAGAGAGTGCAAATTAGTCAGATAAGATGGCAGTGGTATGTCAACAAAACTCTGTGATCCAAGATTCTTGATCCCTTCTATAACACTGGATCCTTCAAACCTGACATTGCAGGAGATTGGCCTGATGAGCTGATGGAATTGTTTTCTGCTTCGTAGCCTTGTTTGCATCTTGAAAGTGAAAAAAGGAAAATCACTGTTGATTTATGATAACGTAATGTAGGAAGGTCTTATTGTTGGTAGCCATGTGTCGTAGTGTGTATATATCTACTGGTGTGTGTGTTTTAACATCATGGGGATCAGAGAGTTTCTGACTGATTGAATAAATGCATAATACACAATAGATATGTGTAATACATACTACGTAATACCAACCTTAAACTCTACCTTTTCCAGCTTAGGGGGCAGATTTGTGCCAAATGCACTGTCTGTTAATTGCTGCCGTTTCTGCTCCTCTTTCCAGTTCTCACTGGTGATTTCCTGACTTTGTAAAACATCCAATTTGCTATCTGAATTGCAGACAAATAACAGGGCAATAAGCTATTTTCATTCAAATCCCAATATGATCCAACCAAAACTTGAAAATACAGTTAAACCTGCGTAAGAGGATACCTGGACTTTCCTAAAAGTCTTTACCTTCCAGAAATACTTGCTGACTTAATGCTTTGGGAAAAGATTCATTCTACATTTAATAAGCTTCATGCTAACTTTCAAGCTTGAGGTTTAATGAAAAAGCAATGATTTTAAATCTGAACTTAACATTGGTGACATGTAGAAGATACCAATAGGACTTACACCCCTGCTTAGGTGAAATTAATGTCCAGTTGATACAGGTTTACTTTGTAAAAAATTAAATAACTAAAGACAGAAAAGCTTTGTAATGGGGGAAGGCTATTACATATTCCCAACAATAGTGTAGCTCCATTTTCTGCATATAAACACACATACACAACCCACAATTCCTCCATTTGTGCTGACGGAGGGCTAACACTCGAAACATCAGCTTTGAAACTCTTTACGATGGCCAATTTACATTATCAACTCCTTGCTAATAGTATATTACCCCACTATTACATAAGCTCATTTGAAGGGTTAACAGGTGTTGAAACATAATTATCTAATCAGCAGGTTTGTTAGAAAGGTTTGAGAAGGTTGTTTTTCAACAAGGTAAAGGAGATGGAAGGTTTTTTTATGGTTTACAAAAGCGATCAAACGAATTTTACCACCTAAAAAAATTTAGGAAAATGGAGATTTCTGTTCGCTGCAAGCTACTTTTGACAATCTCTAGATCATATCACCATACCAACTGTGTGTAACTTAATATTTGTCTTGAAACCAATTGCATCAAAAAGATTACACCTCACAAGAAAACTAGAAACCATCAGGGCCCTGGAGACTTGGCACATGTGTGCTCTCTCCTTGTTCTACTTCACAATCACTTCACAATCATAATTCACAATCACGTCAAAACAAGGCTAAATTAAATACTTTAGATCTGTTGTCCCCTCACCTTTTTCTCTCTTTCTCTTTCTACTGAGAGGGTTTCCATCCACCTGATTCAATCTGTACTTACTAAAGGCTCCCTTCAAGAGACCAGAAAGCTGTCTTATGAATCACTCTCCACTGGCGAAATATATAATTTGCATAACAAACATGGCTCAGAGGCAGATTTAGGGGGACGGTCTGGAGGGTCTTTATCTCCCTCCCCCCTCCCTATTACATCTCTGGGTGTTCTTGTTACATGTCCAACAAAAAAAAATTCTACCTTGAGAAAATTGCATTTTACTACTCAACTGATTGATTTTTATTGTAATTTGTGGGGAAGGGGGGGGAGGGGTGAGTGTAGGTTGGTTAGGTAGTAATTTTGAACTCCCACCCCCTCCAAAATTACATTAATTAAAAATTCCGAGAACCACCACCAACAGTAATTTATTTCTTTTTGTGCATTATATAGCTTAGAAACAAAAATGGAAACAAAATCAAAACTGATTCAAAATAAATATAGGGTGATTGAAAACCACAACTGACAAGGTACAGACTTCTGCCATTCATGTTGTGGAAACTTAGGGGGCTGAACAAGGGTCAGTGGTAACCAGGTTGAGTGCAAGGCCTAACCTGACATCACTGGATTGAAGCCAAACACCCAAACCACTCTTTTACAAATTACCTTCACATCTTGTTATGAATTCATTCAGTCTTAGACTCGTTTAAAATTACCTGGCTGCTTTTATTTAGCACAAGTTCCTTGAGGGAGGGCATGTCCCTTCCTGATAACTTTACTTCTTTCAGAGTCTGACAGTGTAGTAGAGTTGACAGGGTCTGTAGGAAAATTGGTTATAAAATATATTCCATCCATGATTTAAGGTTTGCGAGTGACATATTATTAGCAAACTGCCTCTAAGATTCTAGCTGTCAGTCACCAACCTGAAAGGTTATGAAATTTGGTGGACCATTCACCAACTAGAAGTCAACTACTGGGTGACTATCAACTGACAACCAGATTGACTACTGAATACCTACCAGTCCATATACTTAGAAACCTTAGAAACAGTCTGTTTCAAACATGCAATCATACTATGTATTTCTAACAGGCATTTGGTGTTAAGTTTGCTCCAAATACCTCAGTCAAAATCCTGCAGAAATTTAAGCAATTCCTTGGTCATTCACTGCTAACAATGACATTAAAGATGAAAAGTACTATTACACTTTACCTGGAAGATGTACTGTTTGTGAGCTGCTTTGATGGTGGAGATGAAGACATATTCAGAGTTAGGATAGTAGATGATGAAAACATTGTTGCTGAGTAAACTGGCAGATGATCCATTACAGATGTGAATTCTTGTCCATAAACCATTTTTCCAAAGATGCACATAAATTTCCTTTGAAAATGGTAAAAATGTTTTTCACTTGCTCATACAATCTACATCAGGAGATATATAATGAAGGCTTACAGTGTACATAAGATTGTAAGAGGCTTACATTCAAGTTACCTTTAAGGCTGGTCAGAATTAAAGAATCGTTTCCATGAAATTCAACCATATTTATCATGAGAATTGTTGACAAAATCTCTCTCTAACTCACCACTTTGAAGTATAGTCCTAGACAGGATTTTAATTGTGACTTAAATTTCCAGGGGTCTGATGCATTTAGCTCCTTCTTAGGGTCTAGAATTGAAAGTACATTAACACAGGAAACAAACTTAAAAAATGTGTGTCTGTGTCACGACTGGATTTCCTAGCTTAATTTAATAAAAGGTAGCAATCACATGTCTTCAATTTATTTGTTTACACACCTAATTCCTGGCTAATCATTAAACATTCACTCTAGTTGTCAACATCAAAATTCACAGGGTTGCTAGTAAATTTTGAAGAATTCATGTAGTCACACTGATCTTTCACTAAGGAATCAGAGAAATAAAATGAGCCAACAGATTAGCCAGTCAAAAATATGAATAACAGGTGAGTGTTTTTCCTTCAAGTCCTTGCCATTGTATTGGTGATGGCTCACTGTAGATGTATTTGACCTATCCACAAATTTCTCTAACAAGCTTGTTAAATAAGCGATTGTCTCTGAGTGTTAAAGGTTAATATAAAGAATGACACTTACCAAAGCCTACAAGCTTGTATACAGTCCATTTCTTACAGCTTGGATGAGACTGGTGATCTGAAATACACAAATACAATAAACTCTCTCAAAGTGAAACCTCCAGAAGACAGACAGCTTCCTGAAATGCTAATTTAGAGTCCCTATTTTTATCGTTTTTTTTTTTTTTTAAAGTTTTCCTTTGTTTTCTTGTATAGTAAGGCATTGATAAGTGTGCAACAACGAAATCAAAATCAAACCAAGGATAGATGGAACAGAGGCATATTAATTATATGCTTAATTATCACTCAATTTCATCGAGCCTTCGCTCAATTAGTTACTATATCTATATCTAATGATTGTTAATGCTTGTATGTTGATAAATAATTTGTTATCGTACAAACATGATGCTGAAAAATTGGCAACAATTGGAAAATTAAGGCATTAGAAAGTTTGTTTAGATAACACAGCTGGTCTGACAGTTTAAATTTATAATTATTCTTGTTCTGAAGTTGATTTAGACTAAGAACACCAAAGTTAATTTTTACAAATGGAAGCTAATAAGATCAAATCAATACCAAAAATATACTTCAGTCCAACAAGTTAAAAGAGAGAAACGAACTTACACATTAGATCCATAAGGCTGACATGTTCAGCCGTCACATTCTTGTCAAAACACCTCTTTAGAATGCGATTGACGAAAGTTTTCTTTGTTCCTTCTGTATCTAGCACATCTTCATCCAAAAATCTTTGTTCAATGAGTCCCTTTAGTAGTTCTTCTTTGCTAAATTTGTTGAATAATTTGCTCAAGTCTTTCTTGAGCAAGTCATCCGCCATCTTTGTTTGCAATTACAAATCGAGCGCCAAAACATGAACTAGCCAATCAAAGATGATTCTGCAAATAACAACTGCTCATTGCAAGTGTCGGGGTGGACTCGGGCTGATTTTGTTATAAACAAAAATATGAAAAAGAAATGATTAAAAAAACATTTTGAAGTATTAGTAAAAAAATATGATTTTTAAAAGTCTCAGACTCCTTTTATTTTCAGTCTTATTGTGTATTGATAAAGTTATTTTTCCCGGCGAAGCTGACACCCTATTCCTCCCTACTTCGTTAATAATTGCTCTCCTTTGACCAAGACCGCTGACCATTAAAAGGTTAAACTTCAAGATGGCGACGGCGGGAATATCGGAGATTTACCGCAATGTTTTAGGAAGCGATTTGTCCCAGTGCGTGAGAAATTCGAAAGTTTTGATGGTTGGAGCAGGTGGTATCGGCTGTGAACTTCTAAAAAATTTGGTTTTAACTGGTTTTAAGGATATCGAAGTGGTGAGTGCGTCAACTATTGATGTTGTGAAAAATGACAATGCACATGTGTGAATGCATTGACAGCTTTAATTAAAATGAAACGCTTGAAAACATGCATTTCGGCATGCTTAGCTGTATGCTCTTATACAGCTGTCTGATGGCATACCGGCAAGAATTGCAACTAGATCGGTTTGCTATTGCTGGAAACGTCTTTCCCACTGATTTTCAAAATTTTTGACATTACATTTACTTTTGTACTCTAACGTAAGTGTTGGTTTCTCTGTGTTGTAATTATTATTTTTTCGCTCTTATAGGAATTTACTTTTTTCAAACATTATAGTAAAAACATTTGCTGAGGCATCGTCTTGTGTTTTCTTCGAATTGGCCCTTGCCTGTTCAATGAGCCTGAATCTGAATTGCATATACAATATACCGTGATGATGAATAGACCGATTTGGTTAACATTTGAAAGCAAGAACATGAAGTTGATGATACATATAATCTGTGGTCTGCTTGTTGAGCTACTACAACTTACTGATAAAACACTGAACTTAAAAAGTAATCATATAACTGCTTTCCATTTCTGAGTTAATAATTGATTTTGCATTCTGATCATCTGGGTGAGAGAAGTCCTGACAAGGACTGCTCTTGGTGACATTGACTGGCACTTTGACAGCCTGAGTGAGGGTTGAAACCTCAGTCACTGCCAAGTGGTAACAGTTTTGTTCAGGGAAACTCTTAGTCAGACAAACAGAGGAGATGATCAATGTTGTGAAATCTATAATATGAACTGTTTGGCCTCAGGCACAATTTTATTGAAAAAAAAAAACAAAAAAAAATCCTATGTGAGACACAATTGTAGTTGATAGTGCAATGCAAGCAAGCATACATCTTGACTAGACATAAAATGAAAGTTAAAAGGAAGAAAATGAAATAGTGTAGTTGTATAATTATATACACTTGACTGAGTAAGGTCAGGTTGGGCAGAAAAATATATATATAGCTCCAATTAGTACATGATATGTAACGCATGTGTATTCGAAGATTACAGATAAATCACATGCTTTTTTATGCTGTACTCAGGTTATCAGAAGCTAATGGTAATTCCAGTCTTCATTACTTTATTTAGATTGATCTGGATACCATTGATGTTAGTAACTTGAATCGCCAGTTCTTGTTTCAAAAGAGACATGTTGGAAAATCCAAGGCACAGGTACTGTAGATACACCTCAAGCTGTTACTGATTTAGTTTCACAGTGTTATAGTTTCTAACCCCTTTCTAGTTCTGATTTAATGACCTGTTGGTTCACCAACTGATTTGCAGTACATATACTTCAGTCAACTTAGCTAGACTACACACAAAGATTGTAGGGGAAAAATCAACAAAATTATTTTATTTGATACTGTATCACATAACAAGAAAACAAGTGGAATTTACACAATGAAATAAAATGTGAATGAATATTCTTTTGAAAAATGTACCAATTACAAAAAAGAAATACTCAGTAGGACAAACACAGAAAGCTGAACAGTGGGATTGAATGATCATCAGTGATCAGCCACACGTAACATATTTCAGTGAATAAAGAGCAAAAGTTTCTAAAGAAATTGTGGTACTATGTTGGTGGTGGGTATTACAAGATGATTTGATTTTGTAAACTGAATTGATGACTGAAATTGGCCGCCGTAAAGAGTTTCTATAGCTGACTTTTCAAATGTTAACCCTTTGCCAGAGCATTGGCCAAGTCTCATGATCAACTTAGGTATTAAAACCAAAATATCTCAAAATAGATTTATTTTAATGAGTGCCCTGTATGTAGATGAAGTCAAGAAGACAGGATTTTTTTCAGCCTGACTAAGATGGATAGCAGGAGTTTTAATAAGCATGACATAAAAGTGCCCTTCAAATTAACACATATTTTGTCATATTGGTATTGGAAATTAAAGAATGTACAGTAATGAAAGAAAACAAAATGTTACACCTCACAGGTATCCCGTGAGAGTGCTCTTCAATTCAATCCTGATGCAAATATCAAAGCTCATCATGATAACATTATGAGGTGAGTCACCAATAGTTGCCCTTTACCTTCATGCATTTTTAGTATTGGTAGGAAGAAGGTAAAATGTGTTGATTGAAATGAATATACATATACAAGGGGGGTAGCTAACCTAAAACCCAGTAGGCCTGGTCCTATAATTTTTTTTCCACCTACTTTACTTCTCAAATATGACCCTTGCAAAAATGTGGCAACAGAAATTGAACTTTCTTAAGGAACAGGTCTACAGCAAGTCATATAGTTGGCCCTGTATACTGTACTTTTTTTTCAGTGTTTTATTTTCACAAAATTGATTTTATTTTGAGGTCTATGCTTTTTTCCAGTTAGCAATAACTATGTACTGTATGATAAATGACTCGACATCTAAAACTCCAAAGGAGCCTCTGTTTGGCTTAAAATTTTACACCTTGAGGAATGGTGGTTATTACCAATATCTATATCTCTTTACTTTTCTCAAATTCTTTTCTGAAATAGTTATAAACATGTCTGATTCTTCCTACTTTTTCCCAAAACTTAGTCCTGACTATGGTGTAGACTACTTCAAACAATTTGATGTGGTGATGAATGCTTTAGACAACAGAGGTAGGGTGATTCAACCTTTTCATTCAAAGATCTGAAAGACAATTCTCTTACATGTAAAATTGTTCAATGCAAATTCTTTTTTTGGTTACTGCTGAGAATTTTGAGTTAAATCATGGCAATATTCTTAATTGAGGATTCAGTTATCAATAAGTTTTTCATTGGTTCATATGTAGATTGTAAAATGCTTTTTGTGACATGATAATTATATTTTTGTTTCTGTTTTGCATGTAGCGGCCAGGAACCATGTGAACAGAATGTGTTTGGCAGCGGATGTTCCTTTAGTGGAAAGTGGCACAGCAGGTTATCTAGGACAGGTTACTGTTATTAAAAAGGTATTAAGCTATTAACAACTGATTGCATGATTTTTCTCAAACAATTTGAAATGAAAAATCATGCATAAACTTTTTAAAATTCTTCAAACTTAAGATCATGTGATTACCAATACAAAACCAGGTTGAGCTCATTAAGCTTTACAGTGCATCTTAAGTGGACCAAGTCTTGTCAATTTTACATTTTTTGTTACTCTGCCTGACCTTCCCTGACATACATTGTGTCCAAGTGCAGCTAACTTAACTTGTGTTTGTTTGCCATTCCTCAGGGGGTTACTGAATGTTATGAATGCCAACCAAAACCTACACAGAAGACATTTCCAGGTTGCACAATCAGAAATACTCCTTCAGAACCAATCCACTGTATTGTCTGGGCAAAACATCTTTTTAAGTAAGTCTTGACTTAATTATTATTCATTAAATGTCAAAACAATGCAAACAGAATGGTTTTAATTTTACACTTACTGACTGTAAAATGTTGTGCAACTAGAATAAATTAGCTTTCACATGACCAGTGATGAGGTAATAATTGTAGTTTTTTTTCTTTTGGAGCTAGTTTGGATGTTACACCATATTTACAATCCCCTCAAGTACTCTCATGCACTACCATCTCTTGATAAAACCCTACAGTGTTGACTTTTATAGAAAGTAAAGTTTAGAAGAAGAGGTTGGTACATACAGAAAGTGTGCCACACATATTGGTTTACAAGGTGTTGTTTTTAATCTGCCTGTAGCCAGCTGTTTGGTGAGGCTGATGCAGATGAAGAGGTATCTCCTGACACTGAGGATCCAGAGGCTGTAGGTACGGCAGGAGAAAGGGCAGTCCAAAATCAGGAGAAGGAGGGTGGGACTGGAGGCATTGAGAGAGCATCAACAAGAACATGGGCTGAAGACATTGGATATGATCCTGTTAAGTTGTTTAACAAAGTAGGTCAAGTGAAATTGCGATCATTTTATGGAATCTCCCAATGGCCTGTGAGGTCAGTGTCAAACAGATTTGCTGATGGGCTTATCAATTGGAAGCTTCAACATCCCCCCTCAACACAACATTTTGGCAACTTCATTTGGTTTTCCCAACCCTAAGAAACAGATCAGTAAGCTCTGAATGATATGTTCCTGTATTGCTTTCTCTTCAGCTGTTTAATGAGGATATCAAGTACCTTTTATCAATGGATAAGTTGTGGAAAAAGAGAAAACCTCCTGTGCCTGTTGACTTTGAAAGTATCCAAAAAGGTTAGAAGTAATGATTCTGTTTCCCTATTTGTTGTGGGGAATTGTGGACCCAGAGCTCCACAACTCTAGTACTTAAGTTGAGGCGACTTTTCCTTGTGAATATTGAATCACATTTTTCATGAGAGGCAGTTTAGCTGTTTGAGTGAACTGTGCTATAATAGGTTAAAGCTGAAATACCTTGGACTCCAGATGCCTCAAGCTAGGTCTAGTCCCAAAACCTTTACCTATGAACTTTCTGTGAGCATCTTAAACCATTCATATGACAATATGAATGGAGAAGGATCCAGATAATATGATAGGGGGTGTTCAAAATGGACCAACCATGCCTGCCTCCCCCTGCCCCATCACTCTCAGTTACACCAAAAACTCAGCCAATGGAGTAGTAGTTTGTTATCACGTTGTTATTGTTCACACCAAGTATTTTGGTGTCAGGCTGATAACAAAGGAAAAACCTTGAGGTACCATATTA